CCTCCCCCTCCTCCTCTGTGTAACTTCTCCAAAGTTATCTCTGTGGTCCTCTGCAAACACTGGTGGAGCTCTTCAAGTGCAGTTGGTTGAACATTTGTTGGGAGTGGCTTAGTAGTGGATACTTGCCCTGAGCAAGGCTTTGGACTAGGAGACCCATATGGTCCTTTCCAATTTGTACGTTTTAATGCTGGGTCCTCTAAACAGCTCTAAGACGACCATCCAGCCTCCGTTTGAAGATCTCCAGGGAATCTCTTTAGTATCAAAGGGCAAAGGCAAGTTCCATGAAACTTTTTATCCCAAAAACATTCACTGTTGTTGTTTTTTCTCTCCTTTTCATTTCAGCCTCTGTTTTCACTTGCCTTGCTATTGCTTTGGGATTTTATCGGTTTTGGAAATAAGAAGCCCTCCAATGGGAGGGAGGGAGAAGAAAAAAAAAAAAAGGACAGAGCAAAAACACTCCTAATTGGACACCTACAACATATCTGAGATAACCTCTTCTGGCTGATCCCTTTCAGCCTTCCTTCGTCAGCCGGTGATCTTTTTCATCCTCCATTGCTCTGGACAAAACCGCTCAAAAACAGTTTGCGCCCAATTGAAGCGTGATCTACTGAAGCCCAAGAGATCTGTGGCGCTTGAAGATCTAGAAAAGGGAGGTAAAGCTGTGACCGGCTGTCGTGTCATGTGCTTCAGCTGGTTTTTCTCTTCTCCAGCCTGATCTTCTTGGCCTTCGTCCTTCGGGTTGAATCTCCTTGCTCTCCATTGCAGCTGAGTTGGGACTGTAGCTTTGAGAATTCAGATTGGCTGAGAATTTACACCGGGGGGTAGGCAACCTTGGCTCTTTTATGACTCGTGGACTTCAACTCCCAGAATTCCTCTGCCAGCATGAGGGAAACTTTGGCCCCCTCATGACTTGTGGACTTCAACTCCCAGAATTCCTCAGCCAGCATGGCTGGCTCAGGAATTCTGGGAGTTGAAGTCCACGAGTCATAAAAGAGCCAAGGTGGACTACCCCTGATTTACACACTTGCACCCCTAACATATCTGGAAGGTCCCAACAGCAGAACCACTGTTTTCTCTGCACAAATGTGTCTCCGAGTTTCGAGCTTCTGGTGGAGAAATTTCTCCTCATCGGGTGTTCTGTTGCCCTCCTACATAACAGCACTAGAGATCGTATCCCACATAACCAACCAGCAGAGAATGTTTAAACACTAGTTTATCCTTAATGTCTAAAGACGACTGAATGTATTGCGATTTTTTGTCCTCACGGAACACACAATGCTACTTATATTCCATTCTAGACTGGAAATCTAGGCCCTTTCTAGGTTGGTATTCTCAGGATTGCATAACAGCCATTCTGCCCCGGCGTTCCTCAACCCGGGCGGCTTCCAGACGCGTGGACTTCAACTCCCAGAATTCTCTTAATCGCCTTGACTTTTGCTGGGAATTCCGGGAACTGAGAGGCATGGAGGCTTGGAGGATCTATAAGCCGCCCGGGGGGTCCCTTCTATGGGGATATAGGTGACATAAAAATTAAATAAATATATAATAGTTTCCGAAAAGGCCGAAAGATCTAGGACAGT